CTGTTCGTGAGCTCTCTATTGGTATCCTTCTTTCCCTGCTCTCATGTTCTTTGCTTGTTCTCCAATTGATCACTGACCCCTTCTGCTCGAAATGGTTACCCCTGTTCCCCTCCTTTTTTGGTGAATTTTTTGGTCCTCTTCTTGATGGCTAATGGTCCATGGATATCTCCCCCTCGTTGATTAAAGCCCTTTGTTGTTAATTGTTCCCCGTGATCTCTTCTGCTAATTATCTTTGTTGTCTTTCTTCATTTGTGCATGGTATGGGCATGAGATGGACTGGGCAGTGGAGTAGGAGCAGCAGGGCACGGGTGATGGGGAACCGAGCTGCTCGGTCAGAGTGCTGGCAGGGTGATGTCTATGCAAGCAGGCTTCACGTGGGATGTTGCTCGGTCACAGCTGGGAGCTGAGCCTTGTCTGCTCGGTTGTAGTGCTGGCAGGACGTGGTTCACAAGCTACTGTTGGGCGCTCCACGTGGTGGAGCTCGGGTCAGGTTGGTTCGCGCACTGTCTTGGGTTCCTGTGCAGGCTGGTTTGAGGCTCAAGGAGGACTGGGAACCGTTGTGAGCTTCTTCAGTAGAAACCCTAATGGGTTTAGTTTTGCAATTGGGCATGTCTGGTCCAGCTTGTTCTAAGTTGATGTAGGCCTGTACCATTAATGATAATATTAGTGCATTTTAATTATTTATTTATTTAATTACTTAATACATATATATATATATATAGTAATAATTACTTATAACAATATTAATAATAATAAATTCGAGTTAACTTCGAATAAGACCCCGGACAAATCGAGTATCTACACAAAGAGGACAGAAACATGAAAGCAGAGATAAGAAACGTAATCTACTTACTTCAGAAGCATTGCTGATGAGTTCACGAAGGAAGATCTATTTGTTACCGTAGAAAGTGTTGATGATGAGACTCAAGAGCTGGTTGATCTCCGCCTGGAATGCGAAGGTCTCCGAGTCCGATCCCATATGCACGTCCGCCATCACTTTCAGATCAAACTGCGGGACAATGGGAAAATTCTCTCGTTTCAATTTTTTGAAATTCGCTTTGGATTTTCTCTTGCGAGAGTAACAGCAGAGACAAGTGAAATATATAACGAGAGGAAGTAACGGAAGTGTTTGGAATGGGGTTTCGCGCGGGTTCTAGACTTTTCGTTTTTCCCTTTTCTGCCCTTCATTCTGAATTCCAGGATTTGGTTCGGATGGTAAATTGCCACCGACGGCGTTTTGCATAACTACTTTTTGAAATAAGCTCCAAAATTGCATTTCAGATTACTAAATTATACTGAAATGATGTTTTTATCATTAAAATTTTAATTTTGGGTAAAGTACACAAATGGTCCCATAATTATAGTATGATGCTTTGTTGAGTTCCCTGATTATTAAAAGTTATAGAATAATTTATCGACTATAATACATTCCTTTGTTGAGTCCGTTTACTAGTGAAAATTATAAAATGATTATCATACTATTCATATGTTCTAAACTCGTCATTTTCTGTTAAAATAATTACGATAGTATGATCTGAATATTAACTTGCTGATTGTGATATGATAAAATCTGATCCCAAAATCTAAAACAACTATCATATCTCAGTCATCATGTTAACATCCAACTCAGACGACCACCAATCTTTTAACGCAAAAGGACAAGTTTGGAACATTTGAATAGTCATATGACAATTTTGTAATTTTTAATAGCTGAGAGATTCAACAAAGCAACACCCTATAATCAAATGACTATTTTGTAACTTTTAATAGTTAAAGGATTAAATAAAATAATATATTATAATCCGGGGACCATTTATGTGCTTTACCCTATTTTTAAAATTATAAAATAATTATTAAATTTTGTTGTATTGTATAAAATGATCAGTACATTACAAAATATTAACAAAATTTAATAAATTTTAAAATTATTTATATATAATTTAATAAGTTTAATAATTATTTTTATAATATTTCAAAAATTATTTATACTAATTTAATAATTATTTCAATAAGTGCGGGATTCATCGGGGCAAAATCCTGCCTAACATTATAATTTTGCATGTTAGGAAGACAATTCCAAACATGTGGTAGGAGTATTAAAATTGTAATACATCTCAAAATTAGTTGACCATATTCTCATATGTAATGAGGTAAGGGAGAGGTAGGATAGTAGACTGCCTCCAACGTCAGGTTGAGAGCACTTTCCGTAAGAGACCTCCGGCAGTCAGAATTATGAATTGCCTACCGTAGGACTCAATCCCACGACCACAAGGTTAGAAGCCTTACGCTCTTACCAACTGAGCTGGACGGACAATTCAAAATTATAATACATCTCGTTTACGCTAATTAACACTAATCAATTAACAGGTTCGTTAAGTTGTTATATTTGTTCTCTCGTATTTTTTTCGGTTACAAATTCTAAATTTACTCAGAATACTTTTGTTCCTTCCCCTAAAATCGTTTCTTTTCATCTCTTCTTGATTGAATAAGGGGAAAAACTAAGGATCTGTTTGTTTGGCTGTAATTAGTTTTCTGGAAATTGAATTATTGGAAATTGAATTCTAGAAAATGAATTACATATCTGGAAAACGTTTTCCGGAAAATATTTTCCGTAAAATGAATTACATTTTTCTGAAAAACATCTGGAAAACGTTTTACGATGTTGTTTAAATATTTTTCCACTAGTTGATGAGTTTTTAAAAATTATTTATTACAAATATTAAATACAATAAATAATATTATTTATCATAAAACTTAATATTATTATTTTTAAAATATTAAAATAATTTATTTATTATTAAATATATTTTTTTATAATTTTATTAATAAAATTATTAATATTGGTATATTTTATTGAAATAAAAATATTATAAATTATATTAATTATTTATTAAAGTAATAGTGTTATATTATATTTTAAAAATATTAATTAGTATATTTTAAATATCTTTATAAAAATATTATTAGATTATTATATTAATATTAAATATATAAATAATATTATTCATTATTAATAATTTAATAATATTATTTCTATGAAATTAATAAATAATATAAATTTTATTAATCATTTATTATATATTATTAAAATAAAAATTTATTATCTTATATTATTATAATATAATTGATTATTTTATTATAATATTAAAAATATAATATTATATTATTAGAAATATTAATAAATATATTTTAAATATTTTGATAATTAATATTTTGATTAAAATGATATTAAATATTTTATTAATTGTAAATTTATAAAATAAAATTATTTTGAGTATTTATTCTTTAAAGTGAAAAGTTCGGAAAATGACTTACGGAAAATGAGACCGTAAGTCATTTTCCAGAAAACACAAAGGAAATTTTGTTGACCATGAAAATATTTTACGTTGACCAACCAGTTTTCTTCCAACCAAACACTAGAAATCATTTTCCGGAAAACGAATTACGTGAAACAAACATGGGATTTCAGAATTGTGGGATGAGCCAAGTTACTTATCTTTGAAACTAACAAGGTTCTAAAATGTAATTAAACTACAAAACATAGAGGATTGAGACTTGATTTCACTAATTTTAAAATTGAAATGTCTTAAAAATAGTTAAACCAGAAAAGTTAGGGGTAAAACTTAATTTCATTCAACTTTAAAACCGATAATATTTTAAAAGATAATTAAATAAGAAAACTTTAGGAGGATCATGACTTAAGTTTAATGGTTTCAAAACTTCCAAGGGTTTAAAATAGAATTAAACCATAAAAGTTAGGGTGAGTCGTGGCCCTTCCACCCACGCACGTGATTCAGGGTATGTTTGTTTAGCTGTAATTGGTTTTCCAGAAAATGAATTACTGAAATTTGAATTACTGGAATTTGAATTACTGGAAAATGAATTACTGGAATTTGAATTCTGGAAAATGAATTACATTTCTGTAAAATAAATTACATTTCTGGAAAATGAATTACATTTCTGGAAAATGAATTACATTTCTGGAAAACATCTGGAAAACGTTTTATGATGTTTGGAAGATGTTATTTAAACATTTTTTCCATTTTTAAAAATTATTTATTACAAATATTAAATATAATAAATAATATTATTTATCATAAAACTTAATATTATTATTTTAAAATATTAAAATAATTTATTTATTATTAAATATTATTTTTATAATTTTATTAATAAAAATATTAATATTGGTATATTTTAGTGAAATAAAATATTATAAATATTATAAATTATATTAATTATTTATTAAAGTAATAGTGCTATATTATATTTTAAAAATATTAATTAGTATATTTTAAATATCTTTACTAAAATATTATTGAAATATATAAATAATATTACTCATTATTAAATATATAAAAAATTTATTATATATTATTAAAATAAAAATATAATATCTTATATTATTATAATATAATTGATTATTTTATATAATATTAAAAATATAATATTATATTATTAAAAATATTAATAAAAATATTTTAATAATTAATATTTTGATGAAAATGATATTAAAATATTTTATTAATATTAAATTCATAAAATAAAATTATTTTGAGTATTTTTGCTTTGAAGTGAAAAGTTCGGAAGATGACTTACGGAAAATGAATCCGTAAGTCATTTTACAGAAAACACAAAGGAAATTCTGTTACTAGGAAAATGAATTACATTCCAGAAAACGAATTACGTGAAACAAACACGGGAAAACGTTTTCCGAAAAACGAATTACGTGAAACAAACACGGGAAAACATTTTTCGGAAAACAAATTACTTGAAACAAACACGGGAATTCGGGGAAAACCAATTCCGTAATTCCAATTACGGGAAACAAACAGACCCTCAGTCACTTAGTGAAATTAAAATTAGTTTTAGAAATCATGAAAAAAGAAGAAGAAGAAGAAGAAGCAATTAACAAGTGATGTGAACTCTTCTTTTAGCTAAATAAACTGAACCAGTGGCCCAATTGCCTTTACAAATATTGTTTTAGTAACGAAATCAAAGAGAGAAACTTAAATGTTCATTTACTGGTTTGAAATTTTTGATAACATTATTTGATAAAGAAGAAATTTGATCTTCACTTCATTTTGTCAAATCATGTAAAGAGCACAATTTAGAGTGGGAAATCCTCCTCCGGAAAGTTACAGGTATTCTCCGGTCCTTGATCCATAAGCAGATTGCATGGCTTAGGAGTAACATCACTTGAAACCCCAGAGATTTCACTGCAGTTCCATTGAACCTTCTTTGGCTTTTTTGCTAGTTCAATGGTAACGTTAGATATGCATATACCAGAAAATGGATGCCCTGGAACTCCTTCCAGTCTACCTGCCATTGTCACATTCTCCGCAACGACATCTCGGAAGTTTATGTTCTGGATAACCGGAATCGCATTCGGATCATAATCGTTGTCTGGATGAGAGCCGTAGTTCCCTGCCATCCAAAACACCATTTTCATAGTTTTCATACTCATCCTCCTCACATATATGTCCTTGACATAGTTCCCTCTTCCCACGGCGGTCTTGATCCGTACGGCTGACTCCGAATTGATGCCTGTGATGTCTTCCGCCCTAACATCCTCGATCCCACCGGACATCTCGCTACCGAGTGCAATCACCGCACTGAAAGGAGAAATGCAGGTGAGACGTCTGATCACTAGTTGCTTTGTTGGCATGCCGAATTTGATACCATACTGATCCCACCCGCTCTTAACGGCTATACAATCGTCTCCGGACACAATGTAGCAGTCCTCGATCCTTGTATTCGTGCAAGAGTCTGAAATAAGAACAGGAAGCAAAAACAAAGCCTATTAACACTGATGATGAAATTTATGTTCTGTATTCATTGTCAACTTTCTCACCTGGATTGATCCCATCGGTATTCGGAGAAGTCACTGGTGCGAGGATCGTTAACCCTTGAACTACGACATTGCTGCATTTTTTTTTCATCACAAGCAACTTAGTAACATTATACAACATGCTGAAGAAAACATTAAGCAATCAGGGGGAAAAACCTGCTGTAAACAGGATGAACATTCCAAGATGGGGAGTTCATCAATGTGATATTAGAGATTTGAACATCTTGTGAGTACATTATCTCAATAAGGTAAGGCCTTGTGTATTTAAGCTCTCCCTTGTGGAATTTGTCCCACCAGGTCACACCCTGACCATCAACAGTTCCATTTTCTCCTGAAAAAGTGTTGGGAATCCATGATTTAGTACACTTCATGAATCTAATATTTTCGTTTCGATAAATCTCATCGACAATGATTATGGCTCTGGATACCTGTTATGACCACATCGGTGAGGTTGGTTCCGAAAATAAGACTGATGTACCTTCCTCCAGCTGCATCCCTTCCTCGGCCGTAGGACGGTAGAGGGTCGATAACAGCCCATTCATTCTCATCCTAACACATGAACAGGAAAGGAGTCGCTTAAAAATCTCAAAGATGGATCAAACACACATCTCAATGGACACTTTCCAACCTGTGAAGCAAGAATAGTAGCATCCTTATGCAGATACAGAGTGAAATGGCTGGTGAGATTAAAGCTACCGGTCAACCATTTTCCCGGCGGAACGAAGAGTAACGATCCGCCATACGAGGCAAACTGGCTCAGGCTATCAATGGCAGTCTGAAAAGCCATTGTATTTGATGTTACCCCATCACCAACACCACCAAAGTCTGTCAAGGAGGCACTGAACCTTCTGCCGCAACCCGCTGCCGAGTCATCGAGCGAGTCCAAACCTCTCACCTTTAGGATTGCAGCACCATTTATATTAACCAAAACCAGAAGTATCCCAAGTAACAATAATATGTCACCATATACCTGCAAATTAAACAACTCGTGCAACATAAGAGCAATGAACAAAGCAGATTGATTTTCAATTTGACAGTGGTGTTTTTGGTTACCTTTCTTCTTCCTGGAGTTGTCCACATCTCCTATAAACCAGAAAGCAAATGTTGGTATTTTCTTTTTTGGTATGGAGTTCGGAGTTTAAATAGAAACTGAGGTTTAAAAACATTGAGGAATCTTCACTCTTCTTAAAGGGAACAGTTTGAGGGAGAGGTTCAAGCAACATCGAAATTACAATTCAATCCCCTAAATAGTTTGGTATGTTGCCCTCTGCCCTTCAACAAATTTGTCTTTTTGCTTCACACGGTTTTAATTGCCGTAAGCAAACAAGTTTTTAACGTAAGGTTTTCATTTCCTTTATCCATGAATCAAAGAAATGGAATGCTTTTATGTAGGTAAGGTTGAGCAAGAAGGCTCTTTTGACCTATTTTGCCCTATATAAAACATCATATGATTAGATTTTGAGTTTTGTCAAAATTTAAAAAAATCAAAACCGCTTAATTATTTTAATTTTCGTTATTATAGAGACGTACGTAAGATTATATGTTAAGATAATAAATTTTTTAAAATTTAAGAGGAAATAAACTTATAAAATTATAAGGTTCCTAAATCTCGTTTCTTTATTTGTATTATGATTAAATCGATTCGAATATAAATTTAGTTTAATTTTTTTTGTTTGTTTAAATTATACATCAAATTAAGTTAAGGGTAAAGTACATAAATGGTCCCTTACCTATAGGGCATTTCTTTATTAAATCTCTCAACTATTAAAAATTATAAAATGACCTCCAACTATAGAATATTACTTTGTTTAGTCATTCGACTATTAAAAGTTACAACATGATCACTCGACTATTCATCGTGTTCCAAACTCATCATTTTCTATTAAAAACTAGCAGTTGTTTAAGTTGGACACTAACATGATGACTAATATGATATTCGTTCGAGATTCTAGGATCATATTTTATCATATCACAATCAATATGTTAACGTTCAGATCAGAATACCGTCCATTTTTAAACGGAAAATGACGATTTTGGAACATAATAAATAGTCGGTGATTATTTTGTAACTTTTAATAGTCGAAGAACTAAACAAAGCAACACTCTATAGTCGAATGATTATTTTATAACTTTTAATAGTAAAAGGACTTAATAAAGTAATACTCTATAATCGGATGATCATTTATGTACTTTACCCTTATATTAAATGAAATAGATAATTGATTGATTGAAGTAAATTTGTGAGCGTGGATCAAAATGGTGGGATATAATTGAAAAAAATAATTTTAATATTAATTTGAACGCAAAATGTCCACTTATGTGAAGGCATTTGCGCACTAACCTGGTAGACGGATATTATAAATGGAAACCCCAAAACCTCTCTCTAAACAGTTTCAGTAAATCATGTGTGGACACATGGAATGCTGATTGCAAACCCAAAACATTATCTCAGCTTTATGCCCTCACAATGTCTCTCAACTTATTTAAGAAAAAAATTAAGGTATTTTAAGTAAATCTAAATTAGTAATTTGATATATATATATTAATTTTGTTTTGAACTTATTTAATTACATTAAGTTTATTTTTTATTGATGTTAATTGTAACAATATTAACGTGATGATTAATAATATTGATGTGACGATTTATAATATTAACATAACGATCAATGATATTGATTATTGATGTGTCAGTCTACGTATAAACAATGACATGATAGAAAGATTATATTTATTTTTTTAAAAGCATGACTCTGTCTCAGCGATTAAAGAAATTGTTGTTATCATAAGAGGTTTTAAGTTTGAGCACTAAAAATTGCAATGGTGATGAGTTTTTTAGAACAAATATTATCTTGTAATCACCCTAAATTAAAAGAAAATTATTTTTAGCATGATATGTATGCGTTTTCAAAGGTTCTGAACAAATATTACCTTATAATCCTATCAAACTATTAAAAAATTAATTTTTAGCCGAATTCAAGACATAATTAGTTTTAATTAAAAGTTTGAAGAATTATTTAATCTTTAAGAAAAAAGATAAATTTAATAGATTATTAAAATTTTAAAATATTATATAATTATTAAAATTTTAAAAAAAATTGAAAAGTTAAAATATTTATAAAAAAATTAAAAATAAATACTATAAAATAAAAAAGTTAGGTAAAAATTATAAAATTAAAAATAGAAAAATTTATAATATAACATACGATAAATATACAAAAAATAAAAATTCTAAAATGTTTGTAAAATATAAAAAAATTAAATATTTTTATTAGAAAAATCTTTGTTCCAAATCAAAAAATTAATTATGCCTTTGAACTAGATTAAAAAAATCAATTCATTCTTTTATCATGTTATCATTCACACATGGACTATTACATTAATATCGTGAATCACATCATCGACGAACCATTATGTCATCATCATTAACTATTATGTAAATATTGTAACGATCAATATCAGTCAAAAGATGAAATTAGTGCAATAGAAAAATGTGGGCAATTTTTTGTTAATTGGGATTACTTTACGAGAAAATTGCCTCTTAAGTCTTAAAAAGTATATTAAATAATAAAAAAATTAGGGTGAATGATAAAAAAAATATTAGGGAAATATGGGCCTAATAAATTATTTAGGAAGGGTAAGATGTTATATCTTGGATGAACTATGAAACATGAGATAAATGGTTATTTTTTAACCTAAATTTTAGGTTAAGGGCGACTCCTCCGATCTAGAGTTAATGTATACATAAGACTCAATTGAGATTTACATATATATTTACAGATTGTCCATCAAGAATGGCGGTGGTAGGATTCGAATTTGGATAAACTTAAATTTCTAAATTACAATCATTTTGTATCAATACTCATTAACATATTAATGTCTATTTTTTACATAGAGTGAGAATTAAAATCGGATCTTCAAAGATCTCACTTTAGACCCTTGAGTTAAGAATTTATTGATTTTTACGTAGCAAATTTGTTTTATAAGATATCATACAATAAATTAAAACATTAACTTAAAATAATGTTGAATAATTTATAAAAATGTTCTTTAAAATTTTAATTTGAGATGATGTTTGATTAACTTATAACACTGTATTTATATAATAAATATGGATATGATATTTATCAATAGCTCTAAAGATAATATAATAAGTAAGAATCAAACGATCTCAGTGATTAAGTAATTATTGCTATTTCTTATGGTTTCGAGTTTGAGTACCACATATATCAAGAGTACGAGTTCAATAACAAATAACTGAGAGTCTTTAGAAATTGGATTCTAGTATGATTTTTAATAATTTTTAATTCATATTCTCAATTATTTTTTATATTTAATGCCATAATAAAAAAAATTTAGATTAGAAAATCAAATTTTCATAAAACAACTTTTAAGTGGGAGGAGATAAATTTTGAGGTGTCAATTTTCTTAAAAAGATGTCAATCATTTTTAAAGTAATATTAATATTTTAATTAATGGTTTGGTTTAAATGATAAATAATTTGATATTGCTTAAGCATGTTTGAGCCTTTGTATATGTAGAAAATCTAGAACCAGATATGCGACGTAAATTAGTTTGGATTAGCGGTGAAGCCCATAGAACCGAGAGGACAATAAAAAATGATATTAATATTTTTTGTAAAATTATATTAGTTTTTCTTTTAATGTTTTATTTACCAAAATTAAAAAGGATTTTTTAAAAAAAAATAGGTGTTAGTTCCCCCATAATTATATTATAACTATATTTAAATAAATTTTAATATATTGTTAACTCGTTTTGCAGGTTTATGCTCGTGTGAGTTGTGTGACGTGATATTTAGGTAGGCAATAAAAAAAAAGCAAGTTGGGAATAAATTCATGTACTTGTGGGGAGGTAGTGGCCTTTATCGTGGATGTGAATGCTTCTCCATTCAATTTGCAGGATTTCCACTTAAAAGAGTTATTGGCACATAATCAAGAATAACATTTGGTTTTCTCACACACACACATATAACGATAGGGTAAAGTTCATAAATGGTCCCTCGACTATAGGATAATATTTTATTGAGTTTCTTGACTATTAAAAGTTATAAAATGGTCTCCAACTATAGAGAGTTGCTTTGTTGAGTCCCTAGATTATTAAAAGATATAAAACGGCCGTCTAACTATTCATTATGTCTCAAGCTCGTCATTTTCTGTTAAAATTTTAACGATGGTATGAGTTGTACGTTAACATGCTGATTTAGATATAATAAAATTTAATCTTATAATCTTAAATGACTACCATATCTCAGTCAATATGTTAGCGTCTAACTCAAACGACTGTTAATTTTTTTAACAGAAAATGATGATTTTGGAATATAATGAATAATTGAGTGACAAGTTGTGACTTTTAATAGTCGAGGGACTCAACAAAGCAACTCTCTATATTCAATGGACTATTTATAACTTTTAATAATCAAGGAATTCAATAAAGTAATATATTATAGTTAAGGGAATTATTTATGTACTTTACCCATATCAATATGAGGTGATCATTACTTTATAGCAACCTTGAAGATATTGGCATTCAAGAATTTCACTCCAAGATATATGTATGTATGAGAAAAATTAGAGTTATTTTACATATCCCAATACTTTTTTGTATGATTACTTCTATAATATGTTTATCAAATTTTATATTTTATTCAAATAAATCATACATGATGCATGCTATTTTTTTTTATCAAATTCATAATATATCAATATGATAGAAGTATCAGATTAATTTAAAAATTTAAATACAAAGTAAATAAAATTATATTAATAAACTAAATGGTCGTATTGTATAATATATACTTTTAAATAATATTGTACATAACCAAAGTAATAGTTTGATACTAAACGTATAATTTACCCTAAACTTAAAATTATATAAAATAATTAATTAATTTAATTTTAAAAATTAAATAAATATTTTTGCAAAACTATAAATATACTTTTTTTGTAACTATTTCATATACTTTTTATAAAAAAATATATAAATTATTTTTTATTTTTTAAATAAAGAGAAAAAATAGTCTTTTAATTTAATAATGAGTAAGTAAGTATTTTTAAACAAAATAAGATGTAATTTAACTAAATGACTAGCATTGATCATTGGTTGAGTGATTTGTTTCTCATTTAAGA